GAGACCAACTGCGCCGACGATATTGACAACGATAATGGTTTGTTGTCCATAATGTCTTATAAATGAGCCATAAATATGATGTATTGCCTCTCATTTCCATAAACCCTGTCAACCGATGCGCAGAGATATCTGCTTTACTGTCCATAAACTACTTTACTGTAAAACCCCTATAATTAACTTTACCTGCTTTTTATCGTTGTTATTGATTTTGCTATCATATATATTTCTATATCCATTAAATTAATTACATTTCATTAATTCATTCATCTCTTTCTCTCTACCCTTTCCTTCTCTCCCTCTTTCTCTTTCTTTTCTCTCATTTCTATCCACATTAATAGACGGCTTATCCGATTGTGCGGACAGCGAGTGCTGTAGTACTGATCACTGGTAATTACGGCTCCGACTCTCACATTAAAACACTTGGCTTTTTCTTGTGGTTCCCGTGTTTGGCGACAATAAGCTCATGATATTTATTGTTATTCCCATTTATTAAGATTTCTTGCAGACATTTCTCGCAATTTATTCCCTGACTTTCCTTAAGATAGTCGTTATTACCGTTAGATTTAGTGCTAATTTTGGGACATTTTTATAGTTATAGTTCTCTCGTAATTACGGGAATTCAGTTATAAGTATATAACAGTATATAATAAGCTTAATATCGCCCAAACACTCATATCAAGTGAAAATTTGATTTGACATATCACTAAAACGCTTAACTCTTGGACCTAATGCCCCGCTAATAGCCATCAGTCGCTGATGTGTATCACTAGTCCGGACCCGTTGGACATACTGTTGCGGAAACAGCCGCCGGCAGTGTGCCGGTCAAAGATAGTCTTTTACTTTAAGAACTAGCTTCTCAGCTCACAAGTTTCAATACGGGTATTTCTGCTTATAAGGCTTTCCATTCCACCGGTAGAAAGAGTGTTGTATTACATAATATACACGTACTGTATATAATGTATACACCATGTCGTCGATTCTGTAACGCAAACACTGAATATAATTATTTATTTTATTTTTATCGTAAAGAATTGCTTAACATTTTTTGTGATTAAGTAATTCTTTGAAACAGATTAACAGATAATTTGAATTTTGTGTCCAAAACACACTATATTTGTGTGTATTTTTTATTATTAATGGTTTTTTGAAAATGGTTTTTAGTTTAAAAGCAAATTTGTTATAATTTGTCTTAAATTTAATTATATTTTTAACGCATATTCTATAGAAAATATTTCCATTAATTTTTATTTTTATTGTAAGTTTTTAAATAAGTTTTAAAAATTTGTTTTCGAAAAATAATTTATTATACTTTTAAGGTATTATGAAATCTCTAGAGAGAGAGAGAGAGAGATTTCTGAAAGATTAAAAGTATTTTAAAATAAATTCACGTAAAAAATAAATGCATAGTTGAAGACAATGATAATAAATGGAGGGGCGGTTGGGGTGAGAGACAGGGAGAGAGAAATCATAAAGAAATAAAGTGTATGTAAATGTAATGTGTGTTTGTGTGTAGAAAAAAGCGATGAAAAATTTGCCACAAAAAATAAATACACATAATGCAGCTCAATATGAATGAGATATAAAATAATAATAAAATATATGATAGAAAATGATATGAAAAATAATATATAAGAAGGAGAAGAAGACATGAGTAAATGCACCACAAGTTGACGAGGGATTCAATTGCCATAAAAATAACATTAGTTCTTATGTTTAGTTAGTTTTTTGAGTGAACAGAACATTGAGATTGAGGTAAAGGAGGATTTGAGTAAAAAAAAAACTCGTAATCAAAATGATATCCGAGTTTTAAAATATTTAAATTGCATATAAATTACATGAAAAATTACGGTGCGATATATGGTGTATGAAAAGTGTTAGTGAAATACACTTTTCATATGAATGAGAATCACATATAAAACACATATAAAATGATGGGAACATAAAAAGGTGAGGAATTTTGATGTTGTTTTTTCAGTTATGGGGTTATACTGTATAATAAACATGAGTTTTGTTGTGATATTTCACTAATCTTATGAATTTGTTTGACTAACAAAATGTAGTTTTAGTTATTAATTTTCAAAAGCATTTTATATTTTATATGAAATGTGGTGCTTATGGTATGTAATGAAGAAATTCACTCCTTTTTATATATAGAGATATATGTAAAACATGTATAATTTATGTAATGATTTTGTGTATTCAGTTGAGACCCACCTTAAAATGTGTTGTAAAAGTTATAAAACATTTGTTTTCAAATAAAAAATAAGAGATTTCATAATACCTTAAAAGTATAATAAATTATTTTTCGAAAACAAATTTTTAAAACTTATTTAAAAACTTACAATAAAAATAAAAATTAATGGAAATATTTTCTATAGAATATGCGTTAAAAAATATAATTAAATTTAAGACAAATTATAACAAATTTGCTTTTAAACTAAAAACCATTTTCAAAAAAACCATTAATAATAAAAAATACACACAAATAGAGTGTGTTTTGGACACAAAATTCAAAGTATCTGTTAATCTGTTTCAAAGAATTACTTAATCACAGAAAAATGTTAAGCAATTCTTTACGATAAAAATAAAATAAATAATTATATTCAGTGTTTGCGTTACAGAATCGACGACACGGTGTATACATTATATACAGTACATGTATATTATGTAATACAACACTCTTTCTACCGGTGCTTACCTTTCGGAATATTCGTCTTTATGGGCATAACTTTGAACACTCGACTCTTCGATCAAGAATTTCATTTTCTGATAGAAACTGGCCGTCACTGCCGGCGGCTGTTTCCGCAACAGTATGTCCAATGGGTCCGGACTAGTGATACACATCAGCGACTGATGGCTATTAGCGGGGCATTAGGTCCAAGAGTTAAACATTTCAATGATTTGTTAAATCAAATTTTCACTTGATATGAGTGTTTGGGCGATATTAAGCCTATTATATACTGTTATATATACTTTACTTATTACTGGATTCCCGTAATTACAAGAGAGCTATAACTATAAAAATGTCCCAAAATTAGCACTAAATCTAACGGTAATAACGACTATCTTAAGGAAAGTCAGAGAATAAATTGCAAGAAATGTCTGCAAGAAATCTTAATAAATAGGAATAACAATAAATATCATGAGCTTATTGTCGCCAAACACGGGAACCACAAGAAAAAAGTCAAGTGTTTTAATGTGAGAGCCGGAGCCGTAATTACCAGTGATCAGTACTACAGCACTCGCTGTCCGCACAATCGGATAAGCCGTCTATTAATATGGATAGAAATGGGAGAGAAAGAGAGGGGAGAGAGAGAAAGAGGGAGAGAAGGAAAGGGTAGAGAGAAAGAGATGAATGAATTAATGAAATGTAATTACTTTAATGGATATAGAAATATATATGATAGCAAAATCAATAACAACGATAAAAAGCAGGTAAATTTAATTATAGGGGTTTACAGTAAAGTAGTTTATGGACAACCGGTGCACATCTCTGCGCATCGGTTGACAGGGTTTATGGAAATGAGAGGCAATACATCATATTTATGGCTCATTTATAAGACATTATGGACAACAAACCATTATCGTTGTCAATATCGTCGGCGCAGTTGGTCTCTTGAGGGGCGGAACAGTCTCTGCCACCCCAGCCCTCTCTGCACCGGCAAAGCCATTCCTCTTGATTGCGGACACACTCGCCATGACTTGAACACCCTTTGGGACAGCCGTCTGGTCGTCGGGTAATGAGTGTTAGAGAGAAAGGCAAAGACAAACACAAACATGAAAACGACATTTAAATGTATTATCTATTTTCGTCAGTCAATTACAGTACAGGGCTATAATCTAACAGCCATTGTATTGACATTCATGTCATTCGCACATAAATTTTAATTGTCGTTAACATTAATATGAATGACAAACACATAGACAACACACAAACACATACCTAACGTGCAGTGTCTACCCATCCAGCCCTGGATGCAGATGCAGGTGCCATTATTGCACTGACCATGCTCGAGGCACCGGTGGTCGCACACTTGTTCATCGCATCGGGACCCGTGCCAACCGACATCGCACACACAACGGCCCCCTTCGCACACCCCATGAGCACCACAATCGAGATTACATTTGGCTGTAATTGTGATTTATTGAGACAAATTGCACTGTTATTGTCGGTCATAGACTCGATGAGACAGAGAGGGGGACAAGAGAGAGATGAGGGGATAGGGATTTGTTTGTTTGGATGGGAGGCGAGGAATGGATAGGCATTATAAATAGTTAAATACAATTACCGATATCACAGTTAGAGCCGGTAAAGTGTGGATAACACACACACTTTCCAGTGTCCAAATCGTAAACACCTATTGTTTGGGCGCCGGGAGTGAGAGAGAGAGACAATGGATGGGGTTTAGAGTGATTGTCGACGAAATCAATTGATATATTAGTTAATAAACAAAGTGTTAGGGAATAAAAGGGGAACTGTATGTGAATGTGTTGTGTGGGGAGAGAGGACTGGGAGTCCGTATTTTGTAATAAATATAATGGATGTGTTGTTCTCCACATTCTCTGTGCCTCTAATCAAATAACTGCCCGAACAATGAGTTTTAGGTACAAAATGAAAATGAATGGCAAATAAAAGATTAACAATTGGTTTTCTATTTGGTCAGACTTTTACGGATACATCGATGCTTTTGTTGTGTAAACTTTACTGATATTTCTCATACAATGACTTAATTAGCGGTGTATTTGTATTACAATGTATTTGCTTTAAGTTATTATATCATTGTATTATGAGGAAATTATAATAAAGTTTTTATACTTTGATTGAATAATTCTTAATAAAATGTGTGCTAATGTTTGCATTGAGTTATGTTTGCGTTAACAGCGAGTATTCAATACATACCATGTTGTGAACAATTGGGGAAGAATTGGCTTAATCTTTGGTCGGCGTCGGAACAGTTAACGCCAGTCCACCCGACTTTACACCAACACTGGCCGTCAATGCAGGCGCCGTGACTCGTGCACAACGGGTCCAAACAATCCACTGATGGTAAACATTGTTACATAATTAGAGACGAATTAAATTGCAAGAAAGTAAATAGCATTGAAAAAACTTTGTTTTTAAAGACAAACATTTTAACGCATTTAATACAATGTATAAAAAGGATAGGAAATCACATCCGAAATACACAAAACCCAATATAAACTCTCAGTCCATCAATTCGTGTGATTAGAAGTGCGAGAGAGAGAGAGAGAGAGAGAGAGAGAGAGTTTATATTGGGTTTTGTGTA